AGATTACACAATACTGCATGATGAACAAAATAAAAGCGTAAGTGCACAGGCTCCATATTGCACAGCTGAAGGAACATGGTAGATTTTGTTCTGATAAAAATAAACAACACAGCAGCATTTTTCGTTTTAGTTTCGAAAATCTCCTTTGAAGGTAACAAAGGGCAGTACGATCGCAAAATAATTGCTACAGAAATTTTTTAAAGAACTAGCATAAAATGCTAAACTTGACAACACCTTTCTGGATTTTTGACCAGCGGATTTGCGGCCATTATGTACTGTCCATATAACATTCCTTTAAAAAAAATTCGTACTTGCTTCAAAACTGAGAGCCAAGAACCCACGAAGATGGAGAGAAGCAAGTTTGTTAGATTGCGCGCCTCACTAACAATTTGCGCGCGCAAATGCGATTGCTGGGCCATGAGGCGCGCTTCTCGCAGCCGATTGTAACATTAGTTGTCAGTGTAAAAAAAGAAAACCGAAAGCAGACCAAAAAACTCTGACAGGAACAAAAAGTAACATTGGAATTCTAGCTCATCATGAAAGGTTCAAGTCGAATTTCGATTCAGGTTAAAATCCTGTGGACAGCAGAAGAGACAGGAACTGATAGCTGAGTCAAGACGAATTGATGTGAGGCTATAGCCAAGGGAGGATGAGCAAAAAGAAAGCGTGCAATGTGGGCAAACTCGCAGAAGTCAAGCTGAGCTAAGATAACTTTCAAGGGAATCTTGCTATCTCTTTATAAAAGGGAAAAGTTTGAACAGCGTGGTAGCCGGACTTCGACAAAATTGCAGCGTCTAACTTTTATCATCTGATTTCTTATACCTACTTCCTTATTTTCCCCTTCTGTTGGAAATGGTCCAATTTTTCTTTTCAAATGTTCGGGTATTCACGCCGAACCTGCCATACCCCTCATCCAATACTAAAGTGGGGCGGGTACGAGTTGGCGTGTCGTGACTGTGTTGTTGGCCTGTCCATCACGGCAACACCTGCCATGGATTAACTTGGTGACAGAGTGCGGTGTG